TAAAGCAAACTTTGTTTCACAAACCTGTGGTCGTGCGTGTTATGTGGGTTGGAAGTCTTATTGCTCTTACAGAGTTGCTACCGCCAATCTCCTTCCCAAACCTAGATTCGGATATTGTAGACATTGCACTTGGGCGAGCAGTATAGATCATCTCTTTATAGATAGAGGGACACACGTCCAGGTTACATAAACAGTCTTTATTAGGACTTAGAGATTTGCTGATCAGCTTGATGAATATTTGTAGATTAAAGGCATTAAAAAAGCACTACAGAGTGAACTGGCGGGTTTCTTTGAGGTAGAAGAAACATGCAAGAAAAAAGAAAATCTCATTAAAACTGCCTTGTTTGCTGCTGCGGTGTTTCTCACCTTGATCACCAGATCAAATCTGTGGTAGTGCTCTCTGTCGATGGGCTTCAGTAGCAGAAGTTCTGCTGTGGTTCTGTTTAAGCGGAAATATTCTACATAGGACTCTGGTTTGCCTGGAAGAGAGAGGACAACAAACACAAACAGTAAGAGCAAACCAAAAATGCATTTTTAACAGAAGATATACTGCTGTGGGAGAGGGGAGGAAACATTTGTGTTAGAATCACTTTATGTTTGCTTGATGGGTTTCTAGAGGGAGAATCCAAGGCAAGAGACTTGGATAATGCTCCCAGTTTAAAGATCGCAGCTCGCAACAGGTACACACCGCCCGTACATATATGATTCCTATGAAGGCTACATTGTTCAATGGGGAAATCAAGCTCTGGTAAAAAGAGCAGCAACACAGGCAGATGTACACAATCACATTTCTCAAGTGTGCACTTCGGTCTATGTTACATCTTTACAGCTACAGCAGCTAGCATTGATCTGACTGGCTTTTGAGAGATGGCACGTTCCAAGACAGATGATTTCTACTATGTTTATGGATACTTTGTGCCTCCACTTGGAATGAAATGTGCTACATAAATTTCTTTGAGTGAGTGCCCAATAATATATCTTTTTTTTTATTATTATATCTAAGGCATGTGTTTTTACCTAGAATTCAAGCTTAGGTAAATATATTAAACATCTTAATTTTGCAAAAGCCCTTTCTTTTAATGTTATTTCTATGTTAGTCCAGAAAGAATGAGGGCCAAGTATGACATGCAGCAAGAGTACAACTGGATAGACGTCTCATATGGAGGACTTTGATTTTTTCAAGTTGTTAAATGTTTCCTTCTTTTTACTTTTATTACTATTTACAATTGCATCTTTTTCTATTTCCTTAATATTTTCAGTTTTTAGTTATTAGATTACTTACTGTTTGTTTTAGATTTTAATTTGTGGTTTCACAAAAATCTCATCTCATCCTCCTGTATAAATTACTTTTTTTTTTTAAAAGTTTACTCATATGTCTACATTTCCCTGTTAGATTATCAACTCCAGTCTTATTTTGATAGTTTTTTGTCTCCTGTGTTAAATGTTTTACTCCCCCTCCTGTCTCATTGTCCTTGATTATCTTTACCTGTGTTTAGTTACCCCGTTGTGTCCTATTTCCTGATTACCCTTTTGTGTATAAATGTTTTTTTGTGCATAGATAGTGCTGCAATTCCCATCTTCTCTCTGTCTTTTCACCTCCTGCGTGTTTCTTGCTTTTTCAGGTGAACTGGCGCATTTAGATGTTTAACAGTAAAATAAAAGCCTCACTTTTTATTTATTTAACCTGCCTCCATTAATGGCACTTCAAATATTTGTCAGATCCTTCCTTAAAAATCACAAGTAGTGGAACCAAAACCACTGCAGTTCACATTAAATATTCCTCAGCTTACTTTCAAGAGTAATTTCTGTTTTTAGATTTAGAATCATAATGTTGGATGAGCTGCAAAGCTGCAACATCTTTTTTCTTTGCCCATTGTCACACTTTCTCTAATAATCCTCACTCAGAGAGAGATTAGTTTCACAGGAGGGGTCTGGGAAATTTAATCAAGCCTGTGTCAAGTCATGTCAGTACATTTCTACAGACTATGCACATCCTGACTTGTTGAAGTTGTTGTTATGCTGTATTTTATAGTTTCAAATGGTAATCAAAATATTTTGTATGATGCACAGTTGTCCTATAGTTTATAGATACGTATAAAGCACTAATGAGAAACAATTCCACCTCTGTAATTCTGTATAATGTTATCTTTCACAAACTGTCCAGAGCATACTTTTTTATCACTGTCTATTTAAGTTGCTTCATCAAAAGCCTTAGGGACATTTAGGCCTGGTCTCATTCTCCACGCTGATGGCAAATGTGTGTGCAGCTGTGGTGCTTCTGTAGGTGTGTTACTTGATTCCATTTGATTCAGCACAGCTTATTTATACAGTGCTAGTACACAACAGGCAGCTCAGGGCGCTTTATACTGTAAAGTAAAAACACTGATTAGTGAGAGAACCCCATCAATCCAACAATCCCCTACAACAAAGCATCTGGTAACGGTGGAAAAGAAGAGGTTCAAGAAAAACCTCTAACAAAAAAGGCTCAGATGCTCTCACCAACCTTATTACCTGAGGTTGGTGGGGGGAAATAAATGACAGAAAGCTGAAACCATGAGCAACAAACAGGATGGAACACAAAACATAATGACATATATGAAAGGGAAAATAAATAAATGGAGTTCTCTGTGTATCATGAGCCTAAAACAGTGGGATGGTTTGGTTTGGGGTCATTTGATCCAGGTGTAACTAAGCTTTTTTAAAAAGGAACATTTTAAGCCTCTCTTATGCCATACAGGATATGCATACACTCTTAAAAGTAGAGAACATGCATCTCCTAAACCTAAACCGGGAGCTGGTTCCAAAGGAAATGGGCTTGATGGCTGAAGGTTCTTGCTTAAATTCTACTTTCGGATCATCTAGGACCACCAAGTAAGCCTGCATTTAGACAACAAAGTGCTCTAGTGGAAATAATATAGTACAAAGGCAGCCTTTAAGATACAATAATTCATGCACTTTTTACTTTTATATTAAAATTTCTGAGTGTGGACGTTAGCATTGGGCCTTAAATCTAGCCTAAGGAACCGCAATACCACTGATCTACATTTGACAAGATAATCTCGAAAGAACAGAGTCAGAGTGTATTGCCCTGTGTAAGTGGCATGTTAAATAATGTTTCACCAATCAGTCTTAAAAAAAAAAGTGAATTTAAAATTGTTTGAGTAAAAAAAAAACCCCAACAACAACAAAAACATAAGGATGCTATTTTTCCTTTTCACCTACAGCCAATTTAGATGTAACAATTAACCCAACATGCCTTTTAGGTTGTGGGAGGAAGCCAGAGGACCTGGAGAGAACTCACGTGGGCACACAGAGTACAAGCAAACTCGACACACCAAGGACCAAGCAGGCCAGAGGGTTCTAACCCAGAACCTCCTTGCTGTGATGTGACTGCAAACCACTGTACCGCTTTGCCATTTATTAAATAACTTCCTAAAATGTTTAATAAAAACAAACAAACCTACCAATAAGGATGGAATACAGGATCCCCGGCCTGTCAGAGGGAGGTTGTATGTTTCTGTCCTGGTCCACAGCTTGTATGGGTGGAGTCACATTGAGCGGATTCACCTTACTCTGGAGAAATATTTTCCACAGAGTGAGAGAGAAAAACAATGAATCAATCAAACTTGGACATAGAACAGCACTTTTAACATCCACTGCCAACGTTGTGTGTGTGATAACAGAAGCTCTGCTAAAATTAGGAGGAAGACATAGCAATTATTTAATTACTGGTGGTCTGGGAAAAGTTATTTTAATGCGCAAACTATATCCAAGCAGAGGAAACATCGGAGCAGCAGAACAGGAAAATGTATTGTTGAAGACAACACAAAATTGGAGTAAATTTAAAAATCACACAGGAGGGTAAATATGCACATCCACACACTAAAATGTATTATATAAGTGCAGCATATAAATGGTAATATATATTGTGCACACACCCACGCACACACACTCAAACACACAAATACACAGTAGGAGTTGAGAATCTGGCTCCATCTGCATACTAACGTGGCCGGGCTATAATGTTGACTTACGACAGTGCGATATTGCTGTGGTCCGTGCAATGAGAAGACCCCCGATGGGAGAAATATAACATGTCCATGGGAATAAATTATGATCACTAAGGAAATAAAATGCCAAACAAAGCACAACAACAAGCCTGCGAGTTTTTCTAAATACGCATCCTCCCATAGACATGCATGCACCGTACACACCTGCTATGACACAACATTTAACTGCCGCACCTGTCATGCACCACTTAAAATCTACCAGCCTTCACCGAGCCATCTTTGCTGTTGCCTGAAGAGGAAGGGAGCGAAAACACCGGCAGAGAAGAAGTTATGGGGAGTAATGGAGTGGAGTAAAAGAGGGTTTAAATATATAGAAGGGAGATGAATCTGTCAGGAGTGAAGGGAGACAGGGAGATGTTAATGCAGCATGGAAGAAACTTAAAGCCCCCGAAAGACAACCAGGTCGCGAAAACACTGCAAGAGTGCCACTGTAATTTTAGTTATTGACACCATTTAACTTTGTCAATGAGGAAAAAAAGCACTGACAACAAGAACTACAAAAGCGATGTGAGAGTCAGCCTGTGATTTGTGACGGTGGAGGCAATACTGTTGTGACACTGTAAATAATTTATCATTCATACTGTCAATTACTCCATCACTCCCGCCACATTATCTACGGGCATACACAAACTTTGATATGATTGTGACGCATCTCCAGGGAAGTCACTCACTTCTATTTAAGCTCTTCATGCTGCTGCATGGCTTGGCTTATTAACTGACTAGCTGGTAAAAAAGCATGAAGAAATTCTTGAGTCAGTCCACGTCAGCTAAGCCCAAACCAGCAAAACTGATGATTTTTTTTTGTAGAATTTAGAAAGTTATATAAGCTCATACTTTATACTGGGTCATTTCACTCAATTAGGAACTTTCCTAAACAGAAAAGACTACTTGACCACAACCTGATTTTAAAGCAGGGCTTTTGACTTTATAAACACACATCAGCTCAGTCAGAGATCTCTGGATTTTTTTTTAATCAGGCTTTTTTATTGCATTGCTTTATTATAAAGTGATCCATCACTTATGTCTATTAATTTTAAGAGACGGTCCAAATTAAATTTTAAACGGTCAAAATCAAATTTACTTAGATGTGGCAGGGCTCTGGCACTGTCACTGAATTGCTGTTTAGTATTTAACTTAAGCAACTAACGATTTTGGAAATTAATAAAATAATAAAGTCCATTAATCGCTACAGCCAATTTATACACACGAATACTTTTAAACCATTAAGAAAAACTGCTCAGTAATGTGATTGATTTGGCTTCTATACCATGTAATATTCTTACAACTTTTAAATATAGTAGTTTTTCTGCCTCTTTCATCTTCGGCTGGACTGGGCAAAACTGGGGTTACTCCATGAAGATCAGTTGTTGGCTACTGCCACTCTTAAGCTTAGTTATAAACTTAAGAATTTTATTTGAGTATTTGGTTTAGTCTGATATAACTGGGCCAAATAATAAGCTGGGGGTTAAAAAAAGATCAACATAGCAAGTCAAGCTGCAGGTAATACTGAAAGCTATTTACCTGCTTTGCTCTTGAAAAGTCAAAAGTTTGGACACACCTCATATTTTTTCTTTATTTTCATGACTACTTACATTGTAAATTCTCACTGAAGGCATCAAAACTATGAATGAGCACATATGTAATTATGTAGTAAATAAAAAAAGTGTGAAATGACTCAAAAAATGTTTTAGAGTTTAGATTCTTCAAAAAAGCCACCCTTTAATTTGATTACTGCTTTGCACACTCTTGGCATTCTCTTGCTGAGCTTCACGAGGTAGTCGTCTGAAATGGTTTTCCACCAGTCTTGAAAGAGTTCCCAGAGATGCTGAGCACTTGTTGACCATTTTGCCGTCACTCTGTGGTCCATCTCATCCCAAACCATCTCGACTGGGTTTAGTTCAGGTGACTGGCGTAGCACTCCATCACTCTCCTTCTTGGTCAAACAGCCCTTACGTAGCCTGGAGGTGTGTTTGGGGTAATTGTCCTGTTGAAAAATTAATGATGGTCCATCTAAACGCAAACCAGATGGGATGACATGTCGCTACAGGATGCTGGTTCAGTGTGCTTTGAATTTCGAATAAATCCCCAACAGTGTCACCAGCAAAGCACCGCCACACCATCACACCTCCTCCTCCATAGTTCACAGTGGGAACCATGCATGTAGAGAGCATCCATTTACCTTTTCTGCGTTGCACAAAGACACAGCAGGTGGAACCAAAGATCTCAAATTGAACTCATCAGACCAAAACACAGATTTCCACTAAGTTCATTCCCTGTGTTTCTTGGCCCAAACAAATCTCTTCTGCTTGTTGCTTTTCCTTAGTCGTGGTTTCTTAGCAGTTGTTTGACCATAAAGGCCTGATTCACACAGTCTCCTCTAAACAGCTCATGTAGAGATGTGTCTGCTACTGGAACTCTGTGTAGCATTTATCTGGGCTTTAATTTGAGGTGCTGTTAACTTGTGATTTCTGAGGCTGGTGACTCAGATGAATTTATCTTCAGCAGCAGAGGTGACTCTTGGTCTTCCTTTCCTGGGGCGGTCCCCTCATGTCAGCCTGTTTCGTCACATTCAAAGTTTTAGCAATTTTCTGGACTGACTGACCTTCAGCTCTTAAAGTAATGATGGACTGTCGTTTCTCTCTACTTAGCTGATTGGTTCTTGCCATAATATGAATTCTAATAGTTGTCAAATAGGACTGTCAGCTGTGACTCCCGCACAACACAACTGATGGTCCCAACCGCACTAAAAAAGGCAAGAGATTCCCCAAATGAACCCTGACAAGTCACACTTGTGAAGTGAAAACTATTTCAGGTGACTACATCACGCAGCACTGTCAACAAAGCAAAAGTTGGCTACTTTGAGGAATCTGAAATATAAGACATATTTAGGGCTATTTATAATTTTTTCCATAATTCAGTGTATCTTGCTTCATAGTTTTGATGTCTTCAGTATGTATCTACAATGTAACAAATGTGAAAAAAATAAATAAATAATGAGAAGAAGTGTCCAAACTTATGACTGGTAGTGTTTATATATATGTATTTACATATATGTGCATGTATATATGCGTATATGCTGAGGAACTAATGAGCAAATGGGCAGCCGCTGTGCAGGCAGATGTCTGATCCAGGGAGCAGCGAGGCGATCAATAGAGGGGGGAAAAATCTTGGAGGGCATTTGGTGGTCAGAAGAAGCTTTGTGCTGGATACTGAGCTACACAAAAGTGCACGGCAAGACTTTATGTTGCAACGGGAACTTGTCACACTCCCATATAACTACATGTGGACAAGTAACAGATGTGAATTTGCAGAAGGAAGCTGAGTGTGTCATTGCAGGTAAAAAAACAACAACAAAAAAAATACTGTTATTACAGACAGAGTACTGTATTCTTTGCATCATGCATCTTGTTGCCAGTCAATTGCAGTATGATTTAATGATAAACTAAATTAAATTATTGGTCAAGTCTCAGTCAATAATCAGGTTTATCCCTTACAGCTATGAAATACTGCGCTGCAGAGATGGCAGTGTTTTTGAAGTGTATGTGTGAACATGGCCTGACAGCCAACTCCTCGGCATAATGACCAGCATCTTGGGGTGTGTGTGTGTGTATGTGAGGAAGAAAGACACAGAGAGAGAATAGTTATCCTGGCTCCAAGGCTCTGAGGTTGTCATCTCTCATCAGCCTGATTAGGACTCAAACTATTACGGTGCCTTTTCTCTCCACATCGCTCATTCCTCCCCTCCCCAATTTTCTTGTACCAGGAACAGCAGCTTGTTGCTGTCGTTCCATTCTTTCTATAGCTTCACCTATCTCCCTGCACCTCCTCAGTTCTTTGCTTCCAAACCAACAGGAGACCTGCTGTTGGCATAAAAATACCACCCAGTAACTTAAATGATCATCAAATCTTCAGGTTAAACCTTTGAGTGTTTCACGAAAAACTGTTGCACAGCATAACCCTTTACCCTTCTCTTCAGTTTCTGCAAGCTGTTCCTGTTTTTTCACTCTGGATGGATTTGATAATGATGTTTATGCAAGCTTTCTTCAGTTCTAAGACTTTTGGTAAAATTCAAATTGCTCCTTTCTCCTTGGTAATTTTGAAATGTGCAGAGCAGCTGCCACTGTCAAAGCACACAGTCTGCTCGTTCATCTAGCCAAACTGCGACACTGGTAGTAAAGGCACCAAAGGCAACCGATGAGGAAAAAAAAGCACAGTTTAAGCATTGTGCTGATCATTTAAATGTATGTGAGTGCATATAATATTGTGTATTACTATGTATATAAACACCAATCAGAGAGAGGGAGGAAGGCTTATAGCTGCTGTAATTTCTTTCAAGAGAAATGATTACATTTGACCAAAATAGTGACACTGTAAGGCATAAAAGAGCACTGTTGGTTCAGTGTTTCAGTGTCAAAGTGTAACCATAAGAAGAAGAATCTCTGCACAGTGCATTAGAAGCAAATCAGAAACAGAAAATATAACATGCAAATTTAATATAGTGTGTGTCATTCAAACAGTCAAAGTTCTCATTATTCTGAAAGCTGGAAGTAGATATTCATCTACACTGCTGTCATGCTAGCCAAATCATGGGTTATGAGAAAAAGAGATTTTGCATTTATTTATTCCAAGAATACGTCATTGAACTTTCTTTTCATCTTTAAGCAAAGGCCAGAACTGACAATTATACTGTATTAACCAAGACCACAGGGGTTGATTAATACAGACAAATCTTCCTAGAAGGCCTCAGTTACAGACACACTCATACTTTGACTAACTTGTGGACAAAGGAAATATATAAAGGCTTAAGCCTGCTTTGCAAAAGCAATGCTTGTTTTTTCATGAAAAATGAACTACCTTGAAAAATGAATAAAAAGGTACAATTAAAGCAGTTATTTGTTATGTTCTGCACTAAAAAGAAGAAATTTAAAATTATGAACTGAATTCACAAAATAAAAAAATAAATAAAGTCAAACCCATTCCCGCAAATTTTAATTCCAAGTAAGGAAGGAAGTAATCTCCAAAACTGCTTTATTTCTCCCTTACCTTTCATAACTCAGAGACATCTTTTGTTATTTTCTTTTTGCCAGTGCTCATGTCTTTTAAATTTCCATACAGAAATACAAAAGATATACAATTTTCCAGATATCTGTGATAAAGAAACTACATTACTTTCTCTTTCAATGCATCTCATGACAAAAATAAATAAATAAAAGTGTGAATTTAAAGTTCTAATTTCTTTATTCATGGGGATTTTTGAGAGTCGGGAGGCAGATACAAGACACAAATGACTTTGGTGTATTCTCATAAAAAGTTTGTGGAATTGAGACAGAATTGTGTGAATGAGAGAGAAACAAGAGGAAAGGTGCACATGTAAGGTGTAGAGATACTAAAAATAGATTAGTTTAAATACTGCAGCTGGGGTTTTTCAACTCATCATGGACAATGCCCTTCTCCGTTGTTTTGGATGGACGGACAGTACACAACGTAGGTGAAGAGAATGCAGGCAGGGTGGAATGGGTGGAGATGAGTGTCAGGGGTGATTTGTGACAGAAGGATAGCAGCAAGAGTGAAAGGGAAGATTTACTAGATGGTAGTGAGACCTGCTATGATGTATGGCTTAGAGACAGCGGCACTAAAAAAAGACAGGAGGCCAGGGTGGAGGTGGCAAAGCTAAATATGTTACGGTTTTCAATTGGAGCTACCAAGATGCACGGGATTAGACATGAGTGTATCAGAGGGACGGCTCAGGGTGAGCAGATTGAGGACAAAGTTAGAGAGACAAGACTGAGGTGGTTTGGACATGTGGAGAGGAGGGGTAGTGGATATACTGGACAAAGCATGGTGAGTACAGAGTTACTAGAACGGCAAAGAGGACGATCACGGATCACAGATGTAGTGTCCTCCTTCAGCAACAAGCTGCATGTCCCCCTTCACTACATCACTGCATGATGTAGTGAAGGGGGACATTTGGCGTGACAAAGGAGGGTGAGATGAAATGATGCTCTGTGGTGGGAGCAGCCTAAAGATAAATAAGACTGTATTCTTTAGAGGACAGCTCTATGTGAAGGACCTTTTTCATTCTGACCTGTCATAGCAGTAAATACATGGCAGTCATTTGGTAATCTGTTATGAAATAGATTTCTTAATGATTTTCCTTAATGATGATCATGTGGGTGCTGGCAGTCAAATAGGTTTCCTGAATATGAGCCTTAATTTGACTTCTGCACTGCTCCCAACTCGTGTAAAGAGAGAACGCAGTCTGAAATTCATTAATAGTGAATATAAAGTTTACAGAAAGATGAGGCCAAGCAACCACAGCTTATCTGACTGACTCCAATTTTTATTGCTGTGATTGCATAAGATCAGAAAAACTGAAATCAGCGAAGCGTCTGGAGTAAGCAAGAGCTCTGTATTGGGAGAAAATCGACAAGTGAGAAACAATCTTGGTGTTTGAAGCGACTTGGGGTTTTTTGTGTGTGTTTTTTTCCTATATTTCTTTGGGTTTTAAGGACACTAAACCCAACACTAAACACTTGCCACATAACAAGGGTTTTGTGACCCCTCAAGATTTGCAGAATCTGCCCCGTAACACTTGTTCATGCAGAAGAGAGTAATAGCTGGATCTATGAAAGACATAAACTTTGACTGTCAAGAGCACTTTGAAGGCCACACATAGTATCATTTTGTGACATATATTAGGGTAGCAGTTTCATCCGCCATACAATTTTGCCATAATCAAAGGAAAAAAAACAGCTATTTGTATTTCAAAAATACAAAACCAAGACATTCCCTGTATACAATGATGCTCATTAGTCATTTGTATAGACAGTATAGTAAAATCCTCTTTTTATGCAAATTGTAACTCCCAGGAAAAACAGTTTGTTTCTGCCTAGCCCCTCCCCCCTTTCTCTTTCACTCCCCTCTTCCCCATCCACCAGATCCCCCCCCCCCCATCTCCATCTTAAACCCTGTCCTTGTCCACATACACTTACTCCTTCTGAAAACCACAAGCTGTAAAGTTGATTTACTCCTGTTTTTCCTCCCAGCCAAGACTGTCTCCTCTGGCTGGAAAGAGAGAGAGAGAGTGTGTGTGTCTGTGTGTGTGTGTGTCTGAGAGAGAGAGAGGTGAAAAGAGAAATCTTGAGGCAGAGAAATAGTTCCTTCAGCCTGTCTGGAGCAGAGTCAGCACATGTGTGTGCATGCGACAACTATCTCAGTGTAAAATAGAGAGATGAAGAAGACGGTGTCCGGTCCACGGCTGTGGTACTGGATTTATGTACATGTGTGTCGGTGAATGGGGGGCATTAAGGCATGAACGCACTGCTAGCTTGTCACCATCAAGGGTGTGTGCAGGTGTGTGTATATGTGTTGTAAGGGATGAATGCACTGCTGACTTGTCATAGCTGAAGATTTTGCCTAAAGCAACTTTCCCCCCCCTTGTTTACAAAGTTGTACTCTGAGTTTCTCCAGACAATAGCATCAGCTAAATGCCACAGATACAAATGCAAAAGTACATACAGCTGTGTAAGCATAAATATGGGCTACAGTGTTGCAGAATCTGCCCTGAAACACTTGTTCATACAAAAGAGAGTAACAGCCGGATCTATAAAAGACAAACTTTGAATGTCAAGAACTCTTTGATGGCCACACATGACATATTTTAGGATAGCAGTTTCATCCGCCATACAATTTTGCCATAATCGAAGGAAAACAATACCTATTTGTATTTCAAAAATATAAAACCAAGACATTCCCTGTATACAATGATGCTCATTAGTCATTTGTATAAACACAGTAAAATCCTTTTTTTATGCAAATTGTAACTCCCAGCAGACATTGCTTGACAAGGTCTTATTATTAAAATATCAGGGTTCCTTTTCAAATGGCTCTAATTCCTTATGAAAAACTTACAATGGGTTCTGCAGGAGTTAACATACAGAATGAAATTGCATGTTTTTTTTAGAGTGTACAAAAAAATTTAGCCCCTATTCTAATTACATAGTCTGTAGTTTACAGCAAAACGAGCTACATTTTAAATGCCAAAGTGAGTAAATACATTTGGCTTGAATTGGCATTAGACCTTGATTTGAAAGCTCGAAGACAAGAAAGTGAAGATATCCATAGTGACACAGTCTATCAATATACCCTGTGGTTAATAATTTCAGTTTCCCCTAAGTTTCTAAACCATCTGCAATCTGCCATTTTCATTTTACTGGAAATTAGGGAACTAAAAGGTTGTAACTAAAGTAACTCTGTATGATATTACCTAAATCAAAAAATGGTAATTCAGAAAAATCCCAGGAGATTAGCAGTTTCTGAAATACTAAGACTAGCCCGACTGGCATCAACAATGCTCTGTCTTCCCCATTCTGCTGCTGTTCAAACTTGACCAGGTTGTCTTGACAATGTCTATATGCCTAAATGCATTGAGTTACTGCCATATGATTGGCTGGTGTTGTGTTATGAGTAGCTGAACCAGTGTACTTAATAAAGTGGCGGCGAGTGTATACATGTTATCATTGTCCACTGAAGACAGTAAGTGATCCACAAATGGACATTGCTACAAAAATTTAAAGCTAAGTACACACAGTACACACAAATACAACAAAGTACAGAACAAACACAAACTTACCGGCTCGGTCAGCTCAAGCACATTAGCCTTATACGTGATGGGACTACAATCACGGGTATTTCCCACAAGCGTACATGGTAGAAACATTGGACCCAAATCATCACCGTCCAGTACATCCACAGTTAGTGTGGTGGTGGCTGTTCGACGGTCACTTGGATTAGGGGCTCGATCCTAGACAGACAGACAGATTTTTTTGGTGATAATGCATAATTATGTGGCTACATTTATCTTTGTGTCTTGAATGAAAAGCGATCAGGATATGATCAAGATAAACATGTAATAATACAGAAAGGCTGGTTTTTATCTGATATATTCTATATCTAATGCACAGCATTCATGTTCATGTAGCAAGTGTATACACCATACTGTAATCTACAGGGTGGGCCATTTATATGGATACACCGTAATAACATGGGAATGGTTGGTGATATTAAAGTCCTGTTTGTGGCACATTAGTATATGTGAGGGGGCAAACTCCTCAAGATGGGTGGTGACCATGGTGGCCATTTAGAAGTCGGCCATCTTGGATACAACTTTTGTTTTTCAATAGGAAGAGGGCCATGTGACACATCAAACTTATTGGTAATGTCACAAGAAAAACAATGGTGTGCTTGGTTTCAACGTAACTTTATTCTTTCATGAGTTATTTACAAGTTTCTCTTTGTTCACAGCCATTGACATTGGGGCGACCGTGGCTCAGGGGGTTGGGAAGCGTATCTATAACCGGAAGGTCGCCGGTTCGATCCCGGGCTCTCTGTCCTGGTCGTTGTGTCCTTGGGCAAGAACACTTTACCCTACTGGTGTTGGCCAGAGGGGCTGATGGCGCGATATGGCAGCCTCGCTTCTGTCAGTCTGCCCCAGGGCAGCTGTGGCTACAACTGTAGCTTGCCTCCACCAGTGTGTGAATGAATAGTGGCATTGTAAAGCGCTTTGGGTGCCTTGAAAAGCCTATATAAATCCAATCCTATATTATTATTCCATTGACATGTCGAAGAGGTTAACACGTGAGGAGCGGATCGAAATTGTGTTGATATCTGGTGAACGCAGTAACCGGGTCATTGCAGCAGATTTCAATGAAAGACACCCTACGAGACCACCCATCTCCCATGCTACAGTTAGCAAACTGCTTGCTAAGTTTCGTGAAACTGGTTCTAGTGTTGGATTTGCCAAAATGTGGATGCAAGAAAACTGTCACTAATGAAGAAACATCAGTGGCTGTCCTAGCTTCATTCAGCAAGAGCCCACAGCGTAGCACTCGCCGCATGTCACTGGAGAGTGGCATTAGTCGAACATCCCTTCGGCGGATATTAGCTACTCACAAATGGCACCCTTACAAACTCCAGCTACTGCAGCATCTCAACGAGGATGACCCAGATCGGCGCACAGAATTTGCAGAATGGGCAAAACAAAAATTGGAACAGGACCCTCAGTTCACGCAGAAGATTTTGTTCAGTGATGAGGCAAACTTTTATGTGAATGGTGAAGTTAACAAACAAAACCACCGCTATTGGTCTGACACTAACCCACATTGGATGGATCCCTCCAAGACTGTTGGAACAACAAAAGTGATGGTTTGGTGTGGTATATATACCACCACATTATGGGTGCCAGGTCCGAGCATTCCTAGATGAACAGTTTCCTGGATAGTGGATTGGTCGTCGTGGGCCAGTTGAATGGCCCCCAAGGTCTCCTGATCTGACCCCCTTAGACTTTTATCTTTGGAGTCATCTGAAGGCAATTGTCTATGGTGTGAAGATACGAGATGTGCAGCACCTGAAACTATGGATACTGGATGCCTGTGCTGGCATTTCTCCTGCGGTGTTGCTATCAGTGTGTGAAGAGTGGGAGAAGAGGGTTGCATTGACAATTCAACACAATGGGCAGAACGTTGAACACATTTTTATAAGTGGTCAGAAACTTGTAAATAACTCATGAAAGAATAAAGTTACGTTGAAACCAAGCACACCATTGTTTTTCTTGTGACATCACCAATAAGTTTGATGTGTCACATGGCCCTCTTCCTATTGGAAAAGCAAAAGTTGTATCCAAGATGGCCGACTTCTAAATGGCCAATTTGGTCACCGCCCATCTGGAGGAGTTTGCCCCCTCACATATACTAATGTGCCACAAACAGGACTTTAATATCACCAACCATTCCCATGTTATTACGGTGTATCCATATAAATGGCCCACCTTGTATTTCATGAATCTCTTTGGTGACCAAAATTTCACAAAAATACACATTCAGCAACATATTACATAAAGTCCAGTAAAGTAGAATAACAAATATGGAAGTATAGCATGCACTGCTCCCACTCCCATCTGCTCCTGTATGATTCACTGAAAATATTCAAAACTATACACAGGAAATGATGTTCAACATCTTTCAGGTGTTTCAGCCTTGCAAGGCATTAACATTTTTATTAGACAAAAAAGAAGCCTGTTTTCTCATTTCTTAAATGCAAATATATGCTAAGGATAAATTAAGTTCCAACATTTGGTCTCACCCATGTAAAATTAAGAAGAGAAAATAATAACAGTTAATAATAATAATTTTAACTTAGATTTGTATAGCGCCTTTCAAGATACCCGAGTAGTAGTAGTAGAAAAAATCATATCAATGAAATACTGAAAACCAAACTTTTTATTCATATTTTGGTAGCATGAATAAAATTGTTTATTGGTCCACTGGCTGGACTAAGTTGTAGCACTGCTAACCCACCTTTTCCTTTTTTTGTAAGATTGCATAAAAATGAAACAGCATTGCTGCATTTCATGACATGCTTTCTGGTTATTATGGGATTACAGTCAATTACAGTGAAAATGTTTTGAAGATTTTGATTATTTTCTAACTAAATGACATTGATACAACAGAATTTGGTATTCTGTACAAAGTCAAAAACTCCCACGTGTTGGAATTACAGGTTGATTTCGTTTTGTTTATGTCTCTCTGAGGAGTCACATAAATTTAGATTTTTTTTGGTAAAAGTTAATTAAATAATGTAGTTTAAAACTCTAGAACTCGGAAATATTCTGCAGGTAATATAATTATCATATAGGTATTAATTTAAAAATAGAAGGATATATGTAAGAGGTGTTTAAATAAATACATTCTTTTCAATTGACCAATTCACATGGTGGTTGATGACATTGAACTCAAAGACAAAAACTGAATCTTAAAATTACTTTTCAGTGAGAATGTTACTATTGTGGAAAGGTTTGAAGCTTTTGAAACAAGAAACACTAGAATGTATGACCTTGGTACACACAAATTGAAAAATAGATGTGTTCACATGACTTGTAACTCAAAAGAACGCCAGTAAACCCTAAGCTGGGTTTCATTGAAAGCCTCATAAAAAAATAGAAATAAGTAAATCCCAAAAAACACAGTCCTACTGAGAGACTGATAGTAAGCATTCTCACAAACATTTCCGTCTACTTAGATCATTTATTATCTTTATTCTCTACAATTTAAATTCTAATATTTACATCTACTTTTCATCTGCAGTCCAGTTGAAAAAAGAAAAGATAAAACGCAAGAAATAGCCAAATAAGGCTACTAACTAAACTCCTCAACTACTCAACAGTCGGTGCGATCACCACATCTTACTTACAGGAAGAAACCCACGAGATATTATCTGCTATTCAATGTGTGAGTCATCTAGATTTCCATCAGCTTCACATTTTATGTATGCATATGAGGGAGCACTCTCAAATCCTGTTCAGATAAAGCTGCTTTCTGCCATTAAACTCTTCTAAGTAGCACAACTTAAGCACTAGACAATCAAGATATCAGGTATAAACCCTTAATTAGGTTTCCTCAAAGTTCCCATTTTAATATTACTTAATCACATCAAATCATTGCAATACATTATATTCCCAATTACTCGACAGTAAAAGAAAGAAACCGGGGCCTCTGCCAAGAAATGATCTCCTCAAAACTAAAAAAAAAAAGTTTCTGAAACATCTTTAATGAGCAAGATTGAAGATACCATCTAAAAAGAGAAATCAGAAAACACAAATATGAAATAATTAAACTCTGATTATATATAGTTTAAAGACTGAAAAAAATCATAAAAAAATAGTAGATTTCCATCAAGTTCACAGAGGAGTTTTCCCCTGCTGGCTTCATTACTGTAAGCTATGCTTGACGAGAAGCTGTGACATCACGCAGTGACTCATGACAAGCAATTCTGCCAACACTATCTTGGTGTTTTGAAACTGGACAAGACAAGAGAGAGATGGATCTAAAATTAAAACTGAGAGCACTGTGCAGTCATCGGCTAATGACGAGTCTTGACTATACCCCTGGATAATTGTCTATTGTGACTCTAATAACGAACATACCTTGCAAAACGAACTTCATGTGTTATTTAACATGAACTGAAACCAAGGTTTCATTTCACAGTTCAAGGAATTGAGGCCATGAAGTCATCAGGAAAGTGTTTACAGATCAAAAGAGCTGAGGCTCATCTTTCTACAGACTTCTTTACAACCTGAAGTCTTTTTACTACTAGAGGCCATTAACAATAATGCAGTTTTAAGACAAATCAGTTTTCAGACTCAGAGAATAAGCTAAAAGGACAGTTTATGACGTGGACACAGTTAGCAAGTTTAACATAAAGATTGAAACCACAGACTCTAAAACAGCGGTCCCTAATCCGCGGGCCATGGACTGGTACCAGTCCGTGAGTCGTTTCGTACCGGACCACAGGTTTTCACACAAGGTGTATATACTTTATCTGCAATATATGTACAGCTTAAATGGTCAGCCATGTTCCCAGGGATTTTTTTTCTTTTCTATTTTGTGGTTGTATGGGTTCAGTTAAGCTTAAACTTTTGTTAGGAATTTATATACAGTAATTTCAAAGCTACTCAAAACACTCTTAATACTGTATTCAGACAAACAGATATGTCACCTTGTTAAGCAGCCAGAAACACATTAATCTTACAGTGTACTGCTGACTCTCCATAGTGCTTTCAGGGCCTTGAGACATATGAATATTTTGCAGAATACTTTCTCGAGAACTGCTTTTGAACGCAAGGTTTTCTTGACACAATAAAAATAAACTTTTTTGGCACCATCAGCAACACAAACAATTCAAACTTCAACTACAATTTTCCATAACTGTGCTTTGCTTATTGAGTGAAAATCACTATAAGCCACCTTTATAAATAAAACATACACAGAGCTCAGAAATAAAAGGAAAACAATTAGGCTAACAGAGACATTAGTGATAATTAGGGGTGCTCTAAGAGATCCCTTAAGGCTCACACAACAATACAGAAATAGTGAGAAAAGCTGCATAACATTAATGTTGCCATGATAATACAAATTTACATAAAACAACACTCCAGGCAGCAGTCTACACGCCTACCCATGAGAGATGGCTGATTTTCTTCAGCCATTCTTTATGACAGGTCCACATGAAAGGTGTTCCCTTCAAGAGCTTTAACTTAATATATGATTAAAAAAACCAACCTAACACAGTGCGACATAATAATACACAAATAGAAATGTTGAAAAAAACTTACATTAGCTTGTATGATGACTAGGTATCTTGTTATATCCTCATAGTTGAGTCTTTCTCTGAGAACTACAGAGCCAAACAGTGTCAGCGGGATGTCAAAGGTTCTGTTAGCTGTCTGAAAGACAAACAGATACATTACACACATCAAGAGTGAGTCGCAGCCAGGGTCGGCCATTCACTCTTTCTCTTTCAATACAGTTTTGACAAGGCATGCATTACACTTGTTTGGTTTAAGCAATGAACCTGACTGTGCAATTTCAGTATAAATATATTTTAGATTTCTTGACATGATACAAAACTTAAAAAAAAAATAATTCATGCAATCTATATTTAAAATAATTCATTAAAATTATTATGATGAGAGAAAAAAATAAAGACTAGTATGGTTATAAAATAGGTGACATTCAAAGAAAAATAAACCAGAAGAAGACACAGTACTGACAACAATTTGCTAAAACAAAAAACAGAAATAAAGAATTTATTCAAAGGAGCTGAGATTCAGCATCAACATTTCTCAACTGCACAGATAACATCTCAGTGTTTCTACTAAAGCTTAATGTGAACAAGTGTTAATTTCTTTGACTAGTTTGTGTCAAAGACCTTTTTTCTGATGAAAACAAGACAATTAAATAAATGCGTGAGGACAAAAATGAGATGACAATATTATGGAGAGACAAGTTCAAATCAGAATTAATTAAGTTTTATAGTGAGGCAGGATGCATTCAGAAGTCATCCAATCAGAAGAATCTTCTTGTGCACTAAGTGCACTACAATTTGATCTGTCTACAACAAACAGGGTAGGAGTAGGGCTGGGAAATTTGAGTAAAATCTGATATTGTGATATTTTTTGGGGGGCTATATCATAATACACAATATATCACCAAATGTTTAAATCCAAATTAACTATTCATTATTTTTCCATTTTGAAAACAACAACAAAAATCTGAATGAATTGAAATGTTTTATTTAAACCATTTTAACCATCAGTTGACACAGAGGTTACTGTCACAGTAAGTCTCTTTCTGTGGTCAACACTAGGCCTTCAACAAAAAAAAGATAATAGCAACAAAAAAGTACATGAAGCAAGAATTGACGACACAAAATAAAACAATTCAAATTAAAAAGGTGCTCTTTTGTGCTTATAACATATAAAAATTGTAAAATAATTAGTGCAGAGTTTAAAAGTCTTAATTTTGCACTTTCAGCTGGCGGAATATTTCATGCTACTGCTACCTTTTGCGGCAATAGTTTTGCGGCATATTTTGCAAACTACTCAAATTACTGCATCTTGTTCTGCAAGCTCCATGTGAAATCCAGCGAGTCTCGCTTACCCGAAACTCCTCCTGTCACCATATTTTACTGGTAGTAGATAAACACGCATGCTCAGCATTGTGTCAGGTAGAAAATTTTCTGGGATGGTGGAATTAATGATGCATTAGCAGTGCGTAGGATAAAAGAAAAACTCATGGCAACTGCTCAGTATTTACATGTCAATTTATACTCAGTGGTTACGATAAAGCCATTTTAACCATCTTACGTGGACAAACTCATGATTATGTCGCCCAGCCCTAGGTATGAGCTCCCTGTTTCTCATGAAAACATAACAAAATGTCAACACACAAGGAGGAGATGAGTTGACATCCTCTACTGACACATTTAGCAGCTCTCACTGGCACAGAGAAACTTTTACACAAAACCTTTCGGTCAATTAAATCAACTTCGAATGAAAGTAGACTAAAAATAAAAGAATTAGGATGCCTAAATTATAACTAAAACTAAATGATGTTTAAGTCAAAAGACTCCTTAAAACAAATTTGGTGTCAAAATTAACACTGATGTGAACATTTAAAGAGATAAGAAACGGTGCTACAGCTGACTTTATGAAGAAGATTAATTGTGCAGTCTTTAGCAATGATCACTAATCTTAGAACAGTAAATGCCTTTCGTCAGTCTGCTACTGAACTCAGGTAGCTCAGTTAAACCCTGAGACAGTGAAAGTAATTTACTCCAAACAGCCTTTAATATTAATTATGGCTGAGATGAAAGTAAAGCACAAGGAGAATCTAATGTAATAGGCTACTGTTTTTGAGCATCAAATGAACATTTCTAATATTTTTTTTATTGTTTATTACATTAATGTTGCTATAATGTATATTTTATATAAAGATGTAAATAGGGAATTGTAAGTGCTCCTTTCTGGATGTTGGTTGTCTTTTGCTTAATTTTGCTGGTGTGCATTAGGAAACCAATTTGTAACTTGTTTTTAGAAACTGGAGCAGATTGTTAAAAAATATGATTTCTAAGATCAGTTTTGGCAAGAAGAAAAAGTAAACAGTGCTCAACTGTGATCTCAATCAAAATTTAAATCAGTACTGCTTTATACTCTATTGTCAAAGAGAAGAAAGAGGAAGAATAAAGAGGCAGAAGCACTAAAACTGCTTATGCAGCTTTGCTGCTTGGTCTCTAGTGAACATATACCCATGCTACACCATGTTGACAGAGATCAGTGGGCAAGTGGATGACCTACCGGGTCTCTCGGATTGTACTGGATGGTGTACTCTATCTGTCCATTGGGACCGTCATCAATGTCTGTTGCTCCATTGTTTCCTGAGAAACCAGAAAAGATAGTCGTTCCAACTGGAGTCAGCTGAAAACACAACAGAAAAAGAGAGTTTTAATATTTTTCTCTATACACCTTTAGTGCAACAACCAACACTGTGCTGTTTGTTTGTTTGTTTATTTATTTCAATTTAGATGAACAAAAAGAGAAAATATGCTTTGTAGCACATTTAGGTACGAGCTCATTTCCATCTGCAGTCCCTGGATCGGTTAAAACACAGTGAGATCCAGTTCAAGTCTATCAGAAGAGACACATACACAAACTCAAATACCTGCACGTATGGTAGCAAAGGGAAAGCCACACAAATCAAAATGTTAATCAATAATTACACAAAAAAAGAAAAAGTTATCATAAACTAAGAATCACAAACTGATGCTCACAAGACTCACAGTCAAAATCCGTTGTTTCAAATCCAGAGAGAAACTACATTAACTTGCACCAGTGTTCAAATTGTTTTTAAGCATATTACAAGTTTTAATTGATTTATAGGACAAAGCTGACTGCGCAAACTGGTGCCTTGCTTACGCTCATTTACTGAGAGCAAAGCTGGACAAATCCCCTTAAACATGGGAGAGCAGCATCATGGAGAATCTTATTTACTAAACATCCATCTGAGTAATATATTACATTATCAAAACTTAATATATTTTATTTAGTAAGTATATGGCATGACATTGCCATATGTCAAATCGGGGTCAAATCAGGCTTGAAAAATTGCCAAAGAGAAACGGTTTGACAAACATAAAATAGGATTTTTCACCACCAACAGGATTCCCAAATTGTTTAAAACTTGTCATGGTGGTATCTTCACATGGTGTGCAGTGTCCTTAAAAAAGACTGAGCAAACTGGACTAATGGAAGACAAAAGAAGACGTGACAGGCTTAAAAAAGTCATGCAGATAAGCAGCATCTGAAAGTCATGTCCTTGAGAAATAGGAAAATACAGAAACGGGGGGAAAAAAAGACCTGACACAGGACCTGAGAGATGCTCGGACAACAACATTATTGCAGCAGTGTGGATCATCTTGACAGAGAACAGGACAAAAGGCAGCCAACATCCAAAGAAGAGCTCTGAATGTCCCTCAAGATGCCCGGAGAACTATTCCTGAGGACTAAGACTAAGAAATGACAAAAAAGCTTTTCTAATCGAGTTCAGACTTGTTGAAAAATAAAGGTAGTCATACTAAATATTCACCTTAAAGCTCCTTTAAACTCATCGTCCTCATATACTGTGTACTTATGCACTGCATGTTTGCATGTTTCAGTAAATAACTACATGTACTTCCCATTATCCCACCAAAATATTTAAATAATGAGTGGCAGCTAAAGATTTTTGTACAATACTGTAAAATAGCTTGTTGTTGCAGTTGTTTACAAAAACTCACTGATCTGTGAGCCAGTATTTTCCTTTAAATTCAATGTCGCAGTCAGAAAAAGATAGCTTGCTTTCATACAGAGAACAGATAAGGCATTCAAAAAGAACGCCATTCATTTTGATTTCATTTTTCTAAGAGAAATTTTTAGGGTGGAAGAGGCACACTTGCCACCGTGCATAGAAGAGACGAACTTTGCCAATATATGTATCGCTGTGCTATATTTTTCGATCCATGTGCCAAGGGATCTGTGATTACGTGTCAAAGCAGAAGTTTAATCTCCAGACAGCACTGGAAGCATCCGCGATTAACTTTAATTTAGCTGTTGCACCAGTGATTTGTTACATCATTTCCCTCAACAGGGTTATCTTTGCCTCCCACTGATCTCACAATGGTCTTCAGAATGTCTCATGCTGTCACTTTGCCACTTCTGGATACAGCTGTAATGAAGCAACTCCAGACTCAAGCACCGGTGCCAGCTCATGAAATCAGCCACAGTGATCACCTTGTACTCAGAAAAAATACTCACTGAACTCATAAATTGTGTCCTAGACATCCTTATAAATAACCATATATCATCTGTCTGTCTTATAAGTCTGACTCACTTGCTTGTAGTCAGTATTTCTTAGAAATAGACAGCAAAGAAGAAGACTAGATTATAAGATTTCAGATGAAAGTGGATGAACACCTTTTGATTTCAAATTTACTGCTTTTGTCTGAGTTCTGGGGCCAATAGAAGTGAATTAGAAAATAGCTGACCACCTAATGAGCCCACTTCCACTCAGATCCCAATAAATGTGCTACTACTTTTAAATTACTACCTACATCTGAATTAATGTTTTCATTTTTTAACTTACTACCGCAAAATAGAATAAATTTACCTTGGTCTTCCACAGGGATCATATTTTTTTTTACAGTGCATCTTCTTAATTGTATTGTGAACCTTGGTAGTGAATGGAGGAAACTATTATAGTAGGAGTAATGAGGAAGTGGAAATGCGTAGGAGGTGATGGGGTGGGGACAAGAATCGGCGACAACCAGAAATTTATATAGTGTGGCAACGAAAAGGTGGGAAAGGTTGAGAAAAGGTGACATAATGAAGAGGTGGGAGTGGTGAGGGGGCATGTGAGTGTGTATATGTGTGAGAGCCAGGGAGGGAGGGAGAGGTGTTCTGCAAAAACAGAGGAGAGGCCAAGAGAAAGAAAGGGAGAGACTGAGAAGACAGATTGAGTTGGACAGGCTGTGGAAGACTGTATAATGAGATATTCTACCGGGACTGCTAGGACTGTGCTGGCAGCTGGCTACATGTATCCTTGTCCAGCTTAAGTTTGAACCTCCTCTAGTTATATTTTTGCTTCTACAGACTCTGGAGAACAAACTAACTGTGGGATTGGCATCATAAAGATTATTTTGGAAACCCCAGAATAACAGATATAGATCGCTCATATAGCTGCCCAAGAACTGAGATTTTTTTTCATTACTGTTCACTACCTTGCCCTTCAACTTTGGTATGACAGCAAAAACGCACACAAAAAGCCAGACGATGTGCACTGCTGCATTTTCTCTATAGAATATATAAAAGGGCATGACTGAAAGAGCAGCAGTGGAAAGGCTTAGTGTACAGTACACTTGATATGTTGTATTCATGTATGAGTGAGCTGCAGCCCCCCTACAAACACACTCGGCTCTCAAACTCAAATCGATGACTTTGATTAATACTTTCACAACAGCAGCAGCTGTGCAGGTCGGTTTAATGAATGGCTTTATTGCTTTATTTCTTTCTTTTGACTTAGCTTTACATCACAGACAGAGATGGCGCACGTTTTTGTGTGCGACTGGGTTTTTACCTCATTCACGGCGACGTAGTATCTCGGCTGCTGGAAACGGGGCATGTTGTCGTTGCGGTCTCGAACAACGATGCGGACCTCGTGTAAAATCACAGTGCCTATCAGCTCATTGGTACACTGAACCTGAACCACGATGGAGTGAATGTACGAGGGGGGCTGGAAAAGAGGAAACACAGGAGGAGAAAGAGGTTCTTAAAATGTTAAATGTGCAATTTTAAATCAAGTATATTTATCTTGAGGGAAAAAAAGATGTTACAAAGAAGGACTACACAAAGACTTTGTGTATTGTATTTACTTTTTGTGCCAAATCACACAGTCAAAAACAAGCGCTGGATTACTTTAGAACAGGATGATGAATGTTTACTCAGAGGCAAAAAGAGCTAAAACCTGCTAAATTTCTCACAACAGCACATGATGGCTAAAGTAAAAAACATGTAAAAATAAATATATAAGAGCTGTAGAAATGTAAATGTACTTCCATTGTTTATGTCTCCTGGGGTCAATCGAAATAAAGAAAAACTAGGAGCAAAAACTGCATTTGCTGAAGCAGCAATTTTACTTTTAGTTTGGCATACAGCACAATGAGTGAACGCGACTGAAGAAAAGCTAGAATAAATCTTACATCTCTGTCCAGAACCCGTCCCGTGCTGTTTAGGTAAAGGGCTTGTTTGGAAGGGTCAAGAATGACCCAGCGATCGTTGTTGTCCCTCAGGGACAGAGAGATGGTTCGATCCGGACCTTCAGCCACACCGTTGATGTGCATGTTGTCCACCAACAATGTTCCTGAAATAAAATAAAAGCAGGTTTAATAATCCTTTGGCTCGAGAGACAGACGCAGCGTCCAGAGCTTCAGGATGTAAAAAGTAGAATTCAATTACCTCTGGAGTTAAACAGAAACAGACAGAGAAACCGTTTGGTCCAAAATGATTAATAAATGAAAAGGAAGCAGGAACAATTCAGATGGAACCCTCAGTTTTTCTTCATGTTCTCAATTAAATATATACCTGGAAATTATATGCCGGATGTAGACAAAGTCAAGGGCAATTACGTGGAGAACAACATAGAGCCAGAGAGGAAGAGAGCGACATGAGGGGGGGAAAAGGCATTTAGTGGGGCTACTCTGCTTCCTTCTGCTATAACTATACCTGGAATACTGAAGAATGTCTGCGAATGCAAAACATAACAGACAGACTTCAGGAAGAAACAAGAAAACAACAAATGTTTTAATGATTTAATTGCTTTTCTCAGCCTGGAATTAATTAAAGAAAAACATCAAAATATTTTTAAAAAGTAAACATTTTAAGACAGATGGCAAAATGAAATAAACTCGATTAATTTAATACAATCATCGGTGGGTGGTGAAGTAATTTGGGAATTAGACAACTACTGAAAAGCAAAAACAAAGAGAGAAATACAGTACGAACAGGAAGAAAAGACCATTTAAATGGTATCAGTGAGCTGTAGACATTTAAGCTGGGCATATTATCTGCAAAAACAAAAATTAAGCCATGAGGTCTGAGAAGGCACATTACATGAGAAATGATAAACTTGGAAATGTCACAAAATGTGCTGTTATTTGTTGTTTGTGGGTGAAACTGTCAATGAAAATCAAACAGGGATGTTTGTATTAGTGGTGAACTTGTGATGAATAACTTGAGCGTTTGTCTAATGTGCTCCTCGTTATATTTGCTGATGTTCTCATGTCGTTAACCATAAAGGACCTGTTTTAGTTTACGGGAAATATTTAAACAGAGAGGAGACAAAAAATTAAAAAATAAATAAATAAAAGTGGAAAAAAACAACTACATAAAAAAAATGAATCACAGTGTATCCGCTTGACTCCATTTGTACCGCTCCAGCACAATGCAAGTGACCCATTACCAGATTAATAACACATCTCACTTGGCATCTGCCCTTTCAACAGATGATGGTACATAACGACCAGGGCTCTGCGCTACGAACCAAGTCCAACTCGCCCAAACAACAGGAAATCATGCTGAGCAGTTACACGAAGGTGGTTATTAGCTTGAAAAGTAAACCCAAGGAGTGTGCTCACATGAGAAAGGTCATCCACAAACACTGACAGGTCTTCTGGCAGTAGAACAGCATATTTTACCAAGATGATCGAAGTATTATGTTAGAAAAATATGAAGGGATGAAAAACAGAATGGACAAACTGCACAGCAACACAGCTGCAACTAGCCAAAAGAGTAGTGGGTGTGAGCATGTGTGGTAGAAAACAAAGTACGGTATTTAAAAAAAGAAAACAATATATGTGTGTGAGCATTTAAAATCTTTTGGCCAACAGGTACTAACATATCACTACCATTGCATGTTCCATTAAATGAACAGACTACTTTGCTTGTTAAAAAAGACCTAAAAACACTAAGTTTGCGTCGTTTATCTGTAACTTTAATATAAGGTCAACAAGTACAAGGCTTAGGTGCTATTTTCAGGCACCTAAGCCTTGTAAAAATTGCTTTATAATTGCTTGTGGCCAACGGGAAAAAAATGCAGTTAAAGTTGCCTAGGGATCTAAAGTTTTCTTTGCAGCTCATTAGAGAAAGATAAAAAAAAACTTTAGAGTGTCTTCAAATTGATTGCTCAGGAGGCTAAGATAACCCTCTCTATGAACCACCTCCATAACACTGAAAAGAAGGGCTAAACCTGAAGATCACTGTGGTTTTCTCGAAGCCTCCCATCCTTTTGTCTGAGCAGTAAACTGTCAGCAACATTAGCAGCTGCTTAAAAAAGACTTATTTGTGCTCAAAACCAAGCATTGTTTTTTCCCCCCATATGTACAGAAGAAAAAGTATTCACCATTACACGCTACAGCAAATCATGTGATGCCAGTCCTTTCACCCCCTTATGTGCCTGTCTTGCAATTCTGGAATGACGGAAATGATTGGGCTTGTTCTTATTCTTTCTCACCCTTCTCTCCTTCCTCTACATCCTTTTCCTCTTAAACCTTGTTTGTGGTTAGTGCATTGGTTGCTGCCAACTGCAAATTCATCATGGCCATGTGACAATTTACATTGGCACTTGAGTATCACTACACTGAATAAATAGGGGCCACAGTTTAGAAAAAACTAATTCTGTGTGAGCACTGATTGACGAATAGAAGAAACAGGTAGCAAGCATTAAAGGATTGCAGTTTGCTTTTTTTCTTGTGTTTACTTTTTTAGTTTTTCTCTAAACTTATCTTTTCAAGCTGTTGCAGCACCTTCATCTCTGTAATCTGGGACTCTCTGAGCTCCTGCACTGATATATTACTGAAATGATGCTAAAGATTGACCTTCTTTTACACTCATGTCTCCAACCGGACCGCATATGTGAAGTTACGAAAACTGAGTGGTGCACAGCAAGTTACGCCTCATTAGGCTCATGCCGTTGTTCACAAGGGCAACAGCGGCTCGTAATGCAACCTAAAGTAAGTCACTTCCGTAATCACTTTATATATTTCTGTATTGCAGTAACAAATTTAATTGCTCTACTAAATTTAGCAATCACTTTATAATTTCAGTCATATGACAAAGAAAGTTTTCACATGACCATAAATAGATCTACAAAAGACTAAGTGCACCTTTATCACTTCCACAGGAATTAAGAGGGTAAATAGTAGCCAGGTGCTGTTAAACAAATGCACTTGATTAATTGAGCAAATGTCACCACCTCTATAAAAGTAGAAGTTTTTACAGTCTGCTGATCTGGAGCATTCAGGTGTGCATTATCACAATGCCACAATCTTTCCTGCAGTCGACGTTCCGGCAAATTGAATTCAAGGTCAAACCATGCTACTCTCAGAAAAACTTCAGAAAAACAAAGAGCTACAGCTCACGCTCTATAGGCCTTGGTTAGCATGTTAAATGTTCATGGTATCACAATAAAAATAAATAAATAATAAAAAAGAACAAATATGTCTTGTTTGGAATGATTACCAGGAGAAGGTGACATATCTCTAAGAGAAACATGGTGACGTTGTTTAGGTTTGCAAAGTTGTATCTGAACAAACCACAAGAGTTTGGGAACAACATTCTTTCAACAGATGGGACCAAAATGGAGATATTGGACAATAGCACACAACAATTAAAATGTCAAATATCAGCACAAATACTTCATACCAACTGTTAAACACAGCGGTGGACAGATGATCATTTACGCTTGTTTTTAAGCCACGGGACCTTTGCACCTTGGAGTTATCAACCACGAAATCCTTTGTACGCGAAATAATCGTAGAGTGAAATGTATCATCCGTCTTACAGCTTGACCTAAATTAGGTCAGACAACAGGATAATAATCCAGAGCACAGCAGCAAATCTATAAAAGAAAAAGAAAAAGATCAAGGTGCTGCTATAGTCTAGTCAACGTGGCTCCAAAACACTGAAAAGACTGAGAAAATCTTATAGAAAATTATGCTTCAAGTTATTGCTACTGAAAGTGGATCTATGAGTTATTGAATCATGGGGTTAACTTATTGTTTTCTGTACTAATTAAACTATAATACTGATATTCAAGAATGCAAGCTGGGAGGATTGAAAAATAAATGTGCCATTTTTATTTGGACTTGTCAATCAGCTGATTTCCTTTTCTCATGGAGTGCTCTAACATTTGAGAAGTACAGATATTATTTTCACTTTTATTGCACAAATGGACAAGAATATTTATGCAAACTGTGCCCAGGCTGGAAACAACTGTCTACTGTTGCTAACATCACATCCATTCCTTCCAAACAAATCAAAAGAAAATACTATTCCCTGCTGCAGAATGATGCTAAATCTGTGCCAACCGCAGCCAAGCTTGATTTCCAACAGGAAACATAAACAGCGATGAGTCTCCACTCCTACCTGTACCTTATCTGAAATAAAAATCCCTGTCGTTGCATCATTTTTTCATACATATAGGATCGCAACCCTTGTGTGTTGTTCAATCAGCCTGAGAGCTATGCTGGCGGGGGCCTAGGGTCACATGGGTCAGCCAGGTACAGTACAAGGGGAGAAGCCAGATTAGGGGAGATCTCTGTAACTCCAGGTTGGTACAAAAAAATAAAATGAAAAGCAAAACCTTTGTAACAGAAACAACAATGTAAATTTTGTTGCTGCCTTAAGCACCCAAGGGTATACTAGGAGAACCAGACCTGATCTGGCCTATCAGATTTGAGAAACAAGTGCTTTTGTTTGTAAACAATTACATCTGTGTTCATCTGTGCTCAACGCAACTCAACTTTATAAGACAAAATGACCAATGCACCACACAAAAGAGACAAAATGATAAAAACAAAAAAAGGAATAAAAAACTACAAAAACTTCTATACCTACAAACTACTGTGTGTATGTTCATGTGTGTAAGAGAACCCTAGAAAGTTGAGAAGCAAGCAGGATTGTGTTTGCTCGCTGGAAAACTTCTCGTCTGTGTGCACACACCCGTCTGCACACACAACAACATAAACACACGCGCACTGAGCGATCTCATATCTGATCTGCCAGACATAAAATTGGGTCATGGCCTTCTGTGCTACCATGGAAACCATGTCAAATGCTTTGCTGTGATTTGCTGATTTTATATAAACGAGGAACTTTAATGAAATTGGTTTCTTTATATGAGAAATGGGATAGAAAATGGAATTCATTAGGGGGCTTTCATTCCTTACCATCGTCTGGCTATCTCTCTGCTGGTTTTTCTGCTTCTTTCTAGCAAAAATTTAAAAAAAAAAAAACCCTCACCAAGACAGGCGAAGAAGCCTGATAGAAATAGTGCCTATACCTTGTATAACTGTGTCTAATTTG